TTCAGAGGGGTGCGAGCATCTCCAGGCCTGGCCTGGATGCTGATTCTCTGGGTGTAGGTCAGGGCCTGAGACAGTGGGACTAGAGGGCTTGGTGTTAGGCCTCAGAATAAACCTGGCCTCTAACCCTGTCTGCTTTGTGATCTTGAACAAGCTTAATTTAATATTTTTCTATGAAACAGGGCTAATGCTTCAGAGGTGTAAAGATTACATGAGATATATGTACAGTGGTAAGTAATCAAAAGATGATGTTTATTATAACTATTAATATTATTGTTACTGACACACAGAAGAGTGAGAAGTTTAAAAGGCTAGGGAGACGGGGAAAACCACAGTGGGAAACAAGAATGGAACCCTTTCAACAATTAGCATAAAAACCCAGTAATCTTCAAACTAGGCCAGATCTTGAAATCCATTTGCAGTAAGTGATTTTTAACTATTAATGATAATTTTATTTCAGTCTTTTGAATAATGAACCTATTCACATATACTAACAGGCATACAGTCAAAATTCTTCCTCCCATTCCTTCCTCCTATCCTGCTCCTGGCCCCCCATAACACAGGTACCCCCTTTTAATGACATATACAGTAATAGCATTAGTAATAATAATAATATCATCAGTTTACCACTTACTACATGCCACACACTGTCCTAAGGACTTTGTGAATATTAACTTGTTTACAAGCTCTGAAGCAGATGCTGTAATATTGTCCTTTTTATGAATGGGGAAACGGGAGCACAGAGAGGTTAAGTAACTTGCCCACGATCACTCAGCTATGTGGTAGAGGTGGATTTTCAACCCAGACGGTCCAGCCCTGGATTCCGTGGGTTTATCTTGAAGGGTTATATGCCCTTCAAGAGTTTTTTAAATGCAAATGCAAGCAAATGTAGAGATACTCATTTTTCCCCAAAAGGTAACATCTTATCGTCATCTTCCTGCCCTTATGTTTTATTCTGTGCTTCACACCACTTACTGGAAATCACCCCACATCAGGACAGAGAGCTCCCTCATTCCTCTTTACAGTACTCTGTAGTTTTGATGAAAGACCCTGCCCTTTGTGGTCCAAGCAGGAAGTAGAGACTGAACTGCACGTTTGAACGTGTCCTGCTGGTCATTAGGGGAGTGACGGCCTTGCTGAATCCACATGGGTCCGCCAGCCAGGGCTTATAATTGAGGGATGCTCTTAAGGTTCAAAATTGGAAATAAAAGGGAAGCAAAGGAGAAAAAGCTTGTCAATCCACAAGCATTTCCAAATAATATTAGATGTCACACACAAAAGAGATACTTAAGCCAAACAGTTGCCCTGCATTCCTGCAGTGTCAGCAGCTGGAGGCTCCCCTGAAATAGCTGCCTTTCAGAAATCTGTCCCCTTCCTAAATATGAGGCTGTACTGAGTCCATGCCTCCGCAGCGGTCTTGCAACAAGAATTGGCAAAATGGAAGTAATTAGCACAGTCCTCCCGGGAATCTTGAAGGAAAAGGGGGGGTGAAAGAGAGATAATCCCCAGAAGGTGCCCCCAACCCTCACAGCAGTTACGTAGCAGGCTCTAATCCCCTGGTCCCTGATTCTTACAGAATGCATCTCTATGCAGTGGACTTCAGTCCACTTTTGTTCACCTGGCACTTCCTTCCTGATGCCTTCTTGACAGTCATTTCCCCTTTCATTTTTCTCTCCAGTTCCGTGCGTTAAGCTGGCCGCCAGGGTCTGCTCTGCCAGTGGTAAGCTATAGGTGGAGTTTCCCAAGGCCAGTGCCTCTTAGGAAGGCGAAGCGATGGGAGTGAATGGATAATCGCTCTGTGATACATGTTTGAGGTCTGGGAAGACCTGCGTTTAACAAAAAGCTGTTCAGGTTAGAAGGAAAAATGCATATTGACTGACTCAAATCCAGGAAGAGGAAGCAGATATTAAGTTCACTTTGAGAAGTAAGAGTTCAAGTTAGGGGCAGGCGAGGTAAGGGGAATTTTCCTTCCCTCTCTCTTGAGATGTTGACCCAGGATAAGAATCACATTTCATATTCAGTGTTAAGGCACTTTCCATAACCCGTGGAAAGTGTTTTCTTTAAAGTATATATATCTTTACTCCCCTATTGTGTTCCTTTAAAAAAACACACCAACATTTAATTTTCCAAATTCTATTCTGATAGAAGCGGAGTCCTTTTCAAACCTGTTTTTCTTTACAAGATGCTCACGGGTTTTGTTTGCTCATTAAGGACTGGCTAGTGGCAGCTTAAAGGAAATCACATCTCGTTTGTCACTCAGATATCATTATACAGTTGGTTTTAAAATAGTCCATATTGCTGAAGATAAAAGTAGAATTTTATCTCCGAAAGGGCTTTAATGTATAAACCGTGGCCTCCAGCAAGCCAGACTCAGTGTGGCTCCGATTAGGGTCTTTGAGTGGCCTTAAGTGACCTCAAGGCCCTTCAGGAGTCAATGAGATAATGCAGGCGAGAGTTTAGCCAGATCCCCACCCATAGTAAGCGCTGACAAATGTCGATTATTGTTATTGTGATCTATACAGTGGGTATGATTCTTACCCGCACCACCACCTACCTCACAGACGTTGATTGAAGACCACAAAGATTGGGTGACTGTGAAAGGCTGTGCACAGGCATTTTAATGTGCACAAAGAACACTGTTCATAGAGGTCATTGACAGGGCAGCAATAAGGAAGTCCTACTCCTTCCCACATGGACTGTCCTTGAATAGTGCAGAAACTCGCTTTGCTGGTACCCGACTCCTCTGAGAGGTTGGGGAGGCCTGGGAGGGGAGAAGGCTGCTCGGGGGCACCTGCTCTCACTGAGCCCCGTCTAATTTTGTGACAGTCACAGAAGGCTCCATTTTCTGAGAGAGGAAGTTGATGCTCTGTGGAGGGCAGAGACTCGCCCAGGTCACTCTCTCTAAAAGTCAATGAAAAAAAATATCCTTGGGGAAGGATTAACAAAAAATAAAGTAAATTAAAATAAAATGATCTGGAAGAAATTAACCTTTATAAAAGTAGTGGATAGAGTCATGTCAGAGTTGAACAAGGGCAATAAGGAAACTGAAGGTTTGACATACAGAACTAACCTGTAATCTGGACCAAGGCAGGAGGGGCCAGGGGAAAGGCCAGGTCGTTTCAGAGACTCTGAGAAGCCCCAACAGATAAGATTTATTGACAACTCAGGGTGAGGCACCATTGGGCCCACAGTTGCCAGATAACAAGCTTAATTTTCTCTTTCACTTTCCTCCTTCCTACTTTTGACAAGAACTTGGATGGAATGGTGAACAAATCATTCTACACATCTTCAAGGGCTCTTGAAGGCTGACTTGGAAGTCTGATAGTCCCATCTTGCCTCTCACTAGCTGGGTGACCTTGGACAATCCCTGCTGCTCTGAGGGCTTGTTTTCATATCTGAAAAATGGGGGACTAAGACTCGATTGATTCATTCGTATAACATTTTTTTAAACCTAATTCCCCTGAGTAGAACCTCTTGTAACAGTATTTAACAGAAGTGGCAGGAGTGGATGTGCGTGGCTTGTTCCTGATCTTAGGGGGGAGCATTCAGCCTTTTATCAGTCAGTGTGATGCTGTGGGTTTTTCATAGATGCCCTACTCAAGTTGAGTTAGTTCCATAGTCATGCTAGTTTATGTAGCATTTTTATTGTAACAAGGGGTTGGATTTTGTCAAATGCTTTTTCTGTATCAATCAAGTTGATCGTATGGTTTTTCTTTATTAATATGATGGATTACATTAATTGTTTTTCGGGGGTTAAACCAACCTTGTATTCCTGGGATCAGTCACACTTGGTCATTGTATATAATCCCATTTATAGATGGCTGGATTTGACTTGCTGACATTTTGTTAAGGATCTTTTGCATCTGTATTCAAAAAGGATATTGGCCTGTAGATTATAAGAAATACTTACTGAGCAACTTATGTACCAGGCCTTGTTCTAGGTATTAGGGATTCAGCAGTTTTCCAGAGCAGATAAAAATCTCTTCTTTCATGGGACTTACATTTGAGCAGATGACTAGCAAGGCTGTTTTCTACTCATATTTGGCAATTTTTTCCTCTGTCCTCCCCATAATACCCCCTGTTCCAGCCTTAGTGCTTATGTGCTAGACTTTTGGAAAACTGTCCATCAGTATCTGGAGACTGGAAGGGGCCTACTATCTTTTTAAAACTGCTGTTCCTTTTTTTCACGTATGATGTCAGTGTTCATTGAATTATAACATCCACATAGAAAAGGGCACACACACTAATGAATTTGTACTAACTCACACAACCATGTAACCAGCACCCACATTAAGAACAAACTGTGACGAGCACCTGAGAAAGTCCTTCTGTCTCTTCTAGTCCCTAACTCTCGCGCCATCGGGAAAACCACCTCCCAACTTCTAATACCAGGGATTCGTTTTCTGAACTTGATATAAAATGGAGTCACCCTCTAGGCACCCTTCACTCAGTATTATACCTGTGAGCTTCATTCTTGTGGCTTCCTGTTGTCATGGTTTGTTCATTCTCATGGTTATCTGCTGTTGCCTTCTATGAATATTTGAGTTTATTCCACTGTGATTGGGCGTTTGGGTTATTTCCCGTTTGGGGCTGTTACTACGCCAGCTACGGTGACGGATGCATCTCTCTGTCGGTAAACACGTTTGCTCACTTAGGGGTACATGCCCAGGAGAATCCTGCCACTTGTCCACCATGGATGCACAAAGTAGGCTCTCACCAACGATGCGTGACAGTTTCAGGTGCTGCACACGGTCACCCACATGTTGCAGCCATTCTGGTATCCCATTGTGATTTTAATTGGCGTTTCTCTGGCATCTAATGAAATGAAGACACACGTTTCTTTTAAATGTCATGATTAAGCAGAGCAGTCTGTCTACCCCAGGCCTTTCCATCCCAGATACTCCAGGTTTCTTTGGCACCCCTTTCATGCTGATAGTAAAAGCAGGAGGCCATTGCCGCCCAGACTTCTTCCACAGCCCCTGACAGGCTTTCTGTCTCCCTAGTATGAAGAGGAAAAATGGTTCTAGGAAATCCGTCAAGACCACCCGGGAGCGAGTGCCTACCTATCAGTATAACATGAATTTTGAGAAGATGGGTAAATGCATCATAATAAACAACAAGAACTTCAGCCCATTGACAGGTAGGTGGTGTGGGCATGGGCTCATCTTTCCTGTCCCCTTCTGGTTTCTCCAGCTCATGTTAGGACTTGTATCATTCACAGAGAATGCTGTGCCCAGCTGCTGGGGCAGGCGGCCCCTTCCTAGGTGGTATTTGCATGCCCAGGAGGAAGGGGTGTGGAGAAATCGGGAACGTTTAGTCCAAGGACCCACCGGGAGCATGAGCTGAGACTCAAGGGGAGCTGTTTGGCCTTGTGGCCTTGAGAGCCACTGAGAGTTACCACCTCGCTAGTTGCATGTGGCACCTGGCCGAGTGATGCTGGCACACAGCGCTCAGCCGGGGATTGCTCATCATGAACTTGACTCCCACAGGTATGAGCGTCCGGAACGGAACAGACAGAGATGCCGATTCCCTTTTCAAGAGCTTCCGAAGCATGGGTTTCGACGTGGTCGTGTATAATGACTGCTCTTGTGCCAAGATGCAAGAAGTGCTGAAAAAAGGTGAATGCCTACCCCCTCCTCCCTCTTCCTGCTCCTGAGAGAGAGGGGCAGGGCCCCAGCTGGTCTCGGGGGGGTGCTTGCAGGACACGGGATTTCAGTGTGGAAGCCTTTCCTTCCTCCTGGCCGCTCCATGCCTATCTCCAGGGTAGGCGGGTCTCTTTCAGGAAACTTCAATTTCTACCTAAAAAGATGAAGTCAGCTTATATGATAGCAAGAAAAGTAGCATCTGTCTCTACAGGACACTCTCAGTTTCAAAAGGCTAATTTCTAGGGAAGTAACAGGTTGATACCATTGTGCTCACCACATAGTTTAAGAGTAAACTTTCCCTGGTGGAAGAGACAGAGGAATAATCCCCATAGCCCTCAGAACGACTTGACTCCCCCCAGCCCCTGGAAACCCCCATTCTGCTTTCTGCCTCTGTGAACTTGACTCCTAGGGACCTCCTAAATGGAATCTTTAAGTATTCGTCCATTAGCAACTGGCTTATTTCACTGAGCACGACGTTTTATTTCCTTTAAGAGATGCTTGCAGGACACTTACTGTGTGGCCTGCCTTACAAATATTCACTCATTTAATAGGTACTATCATACCCATTCTGCAGACAAGGAAACCAAGGCACAGAATGGCAAAGGAACTTGCCCTGTGTCACAGACCTAACAAACAGCAGGGCCACCCCCTTCAGCACCCCAAAAGGCTGCCTCCCAGCAGCTACCTGAGCCCTCCCACATGTGGGGCTCACATCCTCACGAGACAGCCCCATTCTGGCTTCAGACTGAGTGAGAATTCTAGAATGCTCTAAGTTCTGTCCACTGGTCCTCCTCCTCTGCAGGGGGGTGTTCCTGCCCCTGAATGGCTCTCTGTCAGTTGGCAGGTGCCGGACTGGAAGGGAGTGCTACCTCTGAGGTCCCGCAGGGCTTGTGTTTTAACTTTTCACTGTTCCAATCGCTTGCTTGCAGCTTCTGAGGAAGATCACGGAAATGCAGCCTGCTTCGCCTGCATCTTATTAAGCCATGGAGAAGAGAACATGATTTATGGCACGGACGGCATGGTAGCCATCAAGGACCTGGCGATCCATTTTCGGGGGGATAGATGCAAAACCCTTTTAGAGAAACCCAAACTCTTCTTCATCCAGGTAATCCCTTTTCAAAGCCAACCCCCCTGAGAATGGGAAAAGATTACAGAGCGACTTGGATTGCATCATCTTTGCGAATCTACGTGCTTTCCCAACTGGGGTATGCACCTTTGGGGTTTGTTTCTCTACCTCTAAACGCTTGGCTTCTGTGTCTGCTTCAGATCACAAATCATGATGGTTTAAGACATTACAATACTTTTATTTGCTTTGCTGACTAATTCAACTCAGCTTTGATTAAGTCATTCATCAGATTATCACTGAGCTCCTAGTACACGCCAAGCACAGTTCTAGGCACCTGGACACAGCACTGAACAGCACATGTTTCTGTTCCCAACTCCATGGAGCGATCTCTGCTTTGCTAATTTCTTAGGCGTGCCGGGGGACAGAGCTTGATGACGGGATCCAGGCCGACTCGGGGCCTATGAATGACACGGATGCCAGTCCCCAACGTAAGATCCCAGTCGAGGCCGACTTCCTCTTCGCCTATTCCACAGTTCCAGGTATCAAGTCTGTTGCCTGCTAACTGGACCATGCCATTCCACCGTCAGGGTGCAGGCTTGGGGCTGCATTAGTTTTCCATTGCCATGGTGATAAATGACCACACACGCAGTGGCTTAACACACACAAATGTATGATCTTATGGTTCTGAGCTCAGAATTCCAAAATGGGTCGGCAGGGCTACCTCCCTTCTGGAGGCTGTAGGGGTTAAAATCCGTGTCCTTGCTTTTCCCCACGTGTTAGAACCTCCCGCGTTCCTTGGCTTATGGCCCCTTCCTCCAGCTTCAGAGTCAGCAACCTCACGTCCCTCTGGCCCTTCTTCTTCCTCATTTCACACTCTCTGACCACAGCTGGGAAGGTGCTCCTGTGATCAGATCAGGCCCACTTGGATAATTCAGGATAATCTCCCCATTCATTTCCTTAGTCTTCACCACGACGTCAGGTAACACAGTCACAGGTTCCCAGGTTAGAGCATGGACATCCCTGGGGCCATTATTCTGCTTACCACAGGGACCTATTCACTTCTCTTTCCAAGAAAGCAGAATTCTCTCATGTATTACTACTGTTACCGTCGATAATTGTAAGAACAAACATTTCTATAGCACTTTATATGTATAGTGTTTTTTCATGTCTTTCACCACATGTCATTCCATGCGTTGTCATACTGCTAACGCCATAGAGCTGGAGTCCACATGCTGGTCGTCACCAGTACCTTGTGCTGTAGGAAGGAATTCTGAGTGCACCTCAAACATAAATTGGTTATTGCTGTTTATTATACACTTATTCAGTAACTAGTTATTATAAATTATAATGATGATGACCCAGTTCTTATCATGTAAACCAAATACAACTTCTGATTCGTGCTGTTTTTTTTAATTGGGGTATGGAGGCAGTAGAATCTTCCCTGGCCCCCAGGTGAAAACTCCAGCAGGCCCGTAGCTTTGCTGCTCGTGGTAAGGTGTTAGAAAATATTGTAGTCATAGGCAGTCACAATACTGTAACTAGTGTTTCCTGTCTGAAAAATAATGAAAATCCTGAACCTGACTTGGCTCTAAATTTCTCCCAGTTCCAGATCAGCCCTGCTAACTGGCTAAGGTGCTAGGGGACCTTGATCCTTCAGCTTTCTCATCTCCTCCCCTCTTCAGATTCCTTTTTTAATTCTCCTGAGGTCAAAGATGGGAGGGAAGCAGAGAAGTAGGGCCTTGAGTTAAGGGTAGGACCCAGGTCCCATGGTCACCTGGCTGCTTGTGCTGTGGGTGTGCTCTTCCATCATCCAGTGAGATGGTGGAAGCCAGTGCTTTCCTCTTGGGCATTTTCTTGAGTCCCTGGGTTCCCTGAACCCTGCTGCTGCTTGTCCCTTGGATTCGCTTCTCTATTCTTGGTTCTGCATTGTGAATCCTTCCTCAACTCCTGGCCATCCTTCGGAAGGTATTTGTCCGGCCTCTTTCTGCTGAGATCTCCTTGCCCATTCAAGAAACCCTATTGGACAGGACCTAGGGCAAACCAACAGCCAGCTTCCCCTGCCATGGACCACGAGTGGTCCACGAGAAACACACCCGCACCCTATGGTGTCAGCCCTTGGGCAGCTGGCTCTCCTGATGGCCCCTAAGGAAGCTGCTCATTCAGCTGCCCCTCACTTCGAGATTTCTTCAGCAGGAACCAGCCTCTAGTCCTCCCTCATCAGTAGGAACACATCTCAAAACTCTCTGAGGTCCCCTGCTTGGCTTGGAAAGTAGCGCTCACCCCACAGGGTGATGAGACGGTCCCGTGACAGAGCGGTGCTCCAGCATTTCCTTGGGACGTGTCTCAGGCTCACGGAGGTACCTGGCATGTGTCCATGCTCGACACCAAGTCATGTGTTGAGCATCTCCACGCTGAATCTAAGACTTTCGCTCTCATTAGCCCAACTCTCATTAGGGACTCGCATGCAGACTAGGGTGACATAACTTCAGAAAGGCATGTGTGAGAGCCCCAGACACCGAGAGTCACTCTGAGTGGCGAGTGGGGCCGCGGCCAGGCCAGCTGACTGGACCTTTCTCTCCCGTTGAAGGCTATTACTCGTGGAGGAACTCGGGAAGCGGCTCCTGGTTTGTGCAGGCCCTCTGCTCCACCCTGAACGAGCACTGGAAAAGCCTGGACATCTTGCAGATCCTTACCAGAGTAAACTACATGGTGGCCAGGCACTTCGAGTCGCAGTCCGACGACCCGCGCTTCCACGAGAAGAAGCAGATCCCGTGCGTGGTCTCCATGCTCACCAAGGAACTCTACTTCTCCACATAACCCTTCCAGGGGTGCTGCTTAGCCGGAAAACAATGGGTCCTTTGTTGATGAATCAGATAGGATTTGTGTATGTTTGTTTTTTGATGCTCTTGAAATACCCATAAATTCTAAAGGATTTTTATTTCAGGAAAATTATTCTACTGGAAAGAAACTTCTTGGTGCTATCTTATGTTCACTGAATTTTCACAATGTTCTCTATTTGATGACTTTGTAATTTCCTCTTAAGATTATTTTTTGTTTGTATTTTTCCTCCTGTCACACATACTACATACAACAAAAATTACCTCTGCAGAGGACTCTTAGCCGCATTCACTGTGGTTGGGGATGGCACTGATGGACAGTCAGAGTCATATTGGTACCTGGCAAAGAGAGTCCCGGTGCTTGACAAAACACAGTCAAGGGGATACTCACTCCCCCGTATTGCAGAAGGTCAGTATACAGTGTGGTTGGAGTGATTTTTTCAGTGGCTTAGGATAGACTCTTGTGCAGAAATTCACAGATAAGTTAGAGGGGAAAATAATTTAATGATTCTGTTATGTGTCAGTCAAGATCCATTCAGGAAAACAAACCATTCCAGGTGTTTCAATAGAGGAATTTATTATTATTATTTTTAATCTTTACCGGAGGATATTTTTTCCATTGTTTTTCAGAGAGAGTGGAAGAGAGAGAAACATCGATGTGTGAGAGACACATCAATTGGTGGCCTCCCGCACTGGGCAGGGATCGAGCCTGCAACCCAGGCACATTGCCTTTGACCGGAATCGAACCCTAGGCCATTCAGTCTGAGGGCCAGCGCTCTAACCACTGAGCCAGGCCCACCAGGGACCAATAGAGGGAATTCAGTAGGGGAGATTGACTTACAGATGATAAAAGAGAAGCCCAGGGAAAGGAAGCTGTTGCCACCTAGAGCTGTGAGGCGGTGTGGCTCTGAGTCCAGGAGCTGGGGTCATCTGCAGGAGCTGGGACCATGGTGGGGGGCTGCCTGCGGGGAGCTAGGACCGCCGAGGAGAGGAGTTATGGAAAATGGAGCCATGTCAGGGACAGAGCCCCTGCCTGAGATGGGGCAACACCAGATGGGTCAGGCATGGGGAGACGCTGGGGCTCCTTCCCCTCTTCTGCCCTTGAGTCTTCCCCCAGCACCTACCTTCCAGCCCCACCTGGAAGCCAGCTGACAAGGGCCCTGGGAGGTGTGTTTCCCTGCACTACTTTAGAGCAAAGGAAGGGGGGGGGGGCAAGAAGTGAATATAAATTGCCTATAAGGTGAATAGAATTGTAGTTCCTGATGTTCAGCAATTCCTCCATTCAGTCATTTATTCATTCTCTTGTCAGATAACCTACATGTTGCCCACTGTATGCACAATAGCCTGTTTTAGCTTTGATAGATGCCTGAAACCTTTTTGATTATTCCAAGCCTTGTTCTGAGTACATTTTTTGTTAAGTGGGGGAAATCAATGGTAAGGGTTTTTGCGCTTTGTTTTCAAGGTGGTGGTATCTTTTGAACACTTGATAAATTACTACTTTATTCTGCCTACTAATAATTGGTTAAAGTTCATATTTATTGATTAAAATGCGGTTGCTTAATTTCTAACCTCCTCAGTGTCCTTTCCTTTTGAAGCGTCTTCTGGCCATGGGAAAATGAGAAAGTAAGAAAAGAATTGACCATCCTGACGCGACCTCAACACAAAATACAACTTTTGAAGCTACAGCGCTCACAAAGCAATAAGTAATCACTTGGGGATCACCGAAACGCCTCACACAAAAGGTTAAGCAACTTCTGAGGTTGTCCGTGACGGGCTGCCATTTATTAATTTGGCAACAACTCAGATGGTGTAAAACTATCTCTTTCAATAAGAAAATGTATTCAGGGTCGGTTTATGAGACTTGTCCCTGGTTTCCTGCCATCTAAAATATACCAAATGTTCAAAATTTAAGTGGATATCATGAATCAAGAATCAACAGGCATCCAGCCTGCTTTCCCCAGAATTTCACAGGCTGTTCTTTGGAAAACAGACTCTTCTGTTCCCTATTATAGACATGAATGTGCCTACATACATTGTCGTCTGAGGTAAAAATCATAGCACTCTTGTTACTTGCCTTGGAATCTTTATTAAAGAGAGAGATGATCTCGTGTTAAAAGAAGTTAATATTTTTAAATTCTTCAAGCAGTTATACTTACTCAGCTTCTAAATAATAAGTAGTACCTCGTGTCCCCTTAGATCAGAGATATAAATAGCTATTAAGAAAGAGCCTGGCCGGGTGGCTCGGTTGGTTGGAGCTTCATCCCGTACACCGAAAGGCCGTGGGTTTGATTCCCGGTCAGGGCACATTCCCAAGTTGCGGGTTTCAGACCCCGGTTGGGGCGCATATGAGAGGCGACCAGCCTATGTTCCTCTCCCTCTAAGATAAAAACAAAAATAAATGTATCCTCCGATGAGGATTTTTTTAAAAAAGGAAGAGCTTTTGTCCTTGATGGCTTTGTTGGGCAGAAACTTATTTATCAAGACCACAAATCCTGTTCCAAGATGGGTGTGTGTTCAGTCATCTCCATTCTTAAACTTTCTGATCTTATTATTACCTGAAATTCTAATGACAGGTTACCCTGACGGAGAACGCTGTCCCGGTGAATGTACACCCCAAGTTGTCCTTCTTTAGGACCCAGGCTCCCCCTGCAAGAGTGGTAGGCAGGGTGCTGTTCTCACATGAGGAAGACAGTGCAATTCTGTGCTCATGTAATTGGCTCGAATGTGGGTTTCTCTTTTTTTCTCAAAGTGCCACTAACCTGCTTTAAGTGTCAGCTTTAGGCTCTGCCCTGAGCTTTTTCTCTGAGCAAGTTTCCATAAACCATCGTAAGCCCATTATGTTTATAAATTGCCCCAAATAGGCCCCAAAATAAAGTGCTAGGGTTTCGTGTTTCCTTATGGTTTACAACCTCAAAAAAATACCAAGGCCTCACTGTGAGAAAGAAAACAACGTCCAATGACAGGGCACGGACATTGTTGGACAAATCCTTTATTTTGTCCAGCCCTGCAGCACGTCGCCTTGAAACCTTTTGTTCGGTTGCTCTGGCTACCAAGGATCACCTTGCGACACCCTAGGAGCACACCTTTCTGTCTAGCGTTTCATTTTTCAGGCTTTTTTCCCGCAGGCATCTGGCTAGATGACAAGCTGTGGTGGTCACCATTGAAAGCAGCAATTCATCTGTGTCATTAGGCAGGGACACCCATAGCAACAGCCCAGGTATCACTACTTTCTGAAGGACTGCGATCCTCATCGGTTCTTCAGAGAGAGGTTGATCACAGGGCTCCTTTACTTACCCTGTTTGCCCTGTAAATATCTTAGCATCTTCCACAGCCAGTGTGTGCAGTGATAGCCTCCCCTGGGAGCCTGGCCCTGCCCAGATCCACTCAACAAGAATCTGCACCCACGTGCACATCGCAGTTTGAGAAACGCAGTTCTGAGGGCAGGGGTCACTTGTTTACACATTTTTGCTTCCCCTCGGCGCTGAGCACGGAGCTGATCAAGGTTATGCCTAAAAGGGATTAGTGAAAGAACATACGGATTTGGAGCTTCCACCGATGACGTATTCTCAAGCACCCCTTCATCTTCAGAAATCCTCTTGTAAAACTACCTGATGCCCTTCATTTCCACGGTAGACTTTCCACGCCGGCCTCCGTTGTAAATGAGCCCTCAGCCGAATGATGTAATAGAATTGTTTACATGTTCTCCAAGTGTCTGCGAATGTGAATCAGCCTTTAAAATGTCTTTGTAAACAGAGCGGGATTAAGGGAGCCATTCCTTGCGTGTTTCCGTTGGCGGGCTGAGCGGTTGTGCACTGAAGCCACAGCTTGTCCCTTCCCACCCGCCCTCGGAACCACCAGGACACCGAGAGAATTATGCTCTCCCCCTGTCCCTGAGCCCTCAGGCCGTAGATCACCCTTTTGATAGACCTCAGGGCTTTGTTTTGGGTCAGATGGCAAATAATTCTTTTTGACTTAGAAATCATTAACACAAGCACACCAAGAACACAGTTGGAAGGCCCCAGCCCCCACTGCAGTACCCATGTGGCCGTGGACACTCCATCCACTTGCAGGTTCACGTGTGACTAGTCCTCTAAAAGTATGTGGTCAGCAAAAACGGTGGTGTGACTTTTGGTCTATACGGCACTATAAATACAGTGCTACAATTTTATAATGAATGCGTTTTAAGTGTATAAAGGCCATTTATGCCAAAGGGTTTAAACTCGGAAGGCACATGGAGTTATGGCTGCAGGTATGCAAGGCTGAGCATTTCAGAGCTTTGATGGTCTGATCCAGGTGGAAGGCATGAGGTTCAGGAAGGATTTGGGAAAGGGAGGTAAGTGTAAACAGTCTGATAGGTTTGGTCTGTGTTATCAGTTATAGCTTGAGTAGTTTAAGGCTTATCTCTACCAGCACAGCATCAAACTTTTATCTCAGGATCTAGTGTTAGCAGAGGTGTTTTAACCACTAGTACTTAGAAATTTGGCTCTGAGTCCCATGTGATTTCCAATCCTAGCCCTGTTATTTGACCATTTAATACTATGTAACCTTAGGTAACCCTTCAGTTTCCCCCTCAACACATAATGTTCAGAATGTGGAAGTTAAATGAGATAATGTATGTGAAGTGCTTACTTCGCAAATGCCTCGCACAAGACACTCAAAATGTGTCAAAGATGATGATGGTGGTGTTTATAAGATGATCGGAAGATGACATGAACCTCATGGAAAGGGCAAGGGTAGAAGATACTCCACTGGGCCCTCCACTCTCTGTGTCAAGGCCGTTTCCTTCAGCATGCCTTCTAGTCTATGCCTTTCAAAGTGAGATTTCTCAGAGGTGCGTGGATTACCCCAAAGATTAACGTACGCAGCAAACATTGAAAGAGCCCTACTGAAGGCCAGGTGTTGTGTTAAGGTGGGACCAAGAACTTTTCTCTACAAACACCTTTCATAATTAATATTAACTATATTACTGTTAAGTAGGGAAGGAAAAAATAATTCTCAAGCGAATGTTTTTTTTATCCTAGAGCATAGGACCAACTCTTAAAGGCTTAGGAGCAACAGCTTTCGCAAATTATCTTTTCTGAAGCTTCCAGTCGTATTAAGTGCTGACAGTTTTTAAGCACTGAGATGAAAGAAACAGAGTCCTTTTCTTTTGTGTTACTAATTGCAATTTTGCTTGGCATGAGAAGCTGGCTTTCCCCTTGAGACATTTGCCAGCATACATTAATTGCACAAATATTTACAGACTGTTAAAGCACAGGGGCAGCTTATACCAAAAAAGATATGGAACACTTGAAAAAAAAAACCCTCTTTGACACATTATATTTGTGGCTGGTTACCCAGAATCCGCATAAACTATTTGCCCCTTAGCTTCAGCAAAAGTGTTTAAAGAACATTGTCCCTGGGTTGATTTAGCATTTACTTGGCAATGGCTGCTGAAGCCTTCCTTCAAGAGCCTGTGGACAAACACTTTTTTTTTTTTTCAGGGTTAAAAATAAGGTTTCCAAAAATATGTATGCATCTTATGGATTGTTATATTGTCAACACTTTTAATCTTCCAGGCCACCCACATGGCATGAAGAGGTTTATCCAATGGTGGTTCCAAATCCCAGGAGCTTCAGAAAGTTAACATGAACAAG